TCCAGTTATATTTCCAGTACAAAATAAAAAAAAACCCAGTTAGGCTATTGGCTGTTTCTAGGATACATTAATATCTATAGAAGCAAACCAGCAATGATACCGTCACTGTTCCACCGCTGATTCATTACTGGCAATTAAAGCAACGATAAGGCGTTGTAATTACGTATGCTAATCATGGACTTAATACTTCTACGGAGATATGCCGCCCTGGTAGCCTGCGGCCGTTGTGCGTCTACTTAAATAAATTAAGCGATAAACAAAAAGAAACTTAATTATCAAGTGCTACTGGATATCATTTAGGATGTCTACTATAGGATTATCTTTCGAGAAATTAAGAAAAAAGTATTAAAAAATCTTTGTGTGCGTCCTGACTATGTTCTACATCTGTGCAAAATTTCATTAAGAACCGTTAAGCAGTTTAGGCTTAAAACTCTATCAAATATGCATCCATCTTGTTAACCGCGCTTTATACTATTTTGATGCTAGCAAATAAGTGGGTAATGTTAACGTACAAACTACATGTTACAAAGAAAATACGCTTGTTGTTAAAGTTATAATAAAGTCCAAATTCGATTGGCGAATTCGGTAATTCTAGAGTCCCGCGATGACTTTGACAGAAGTGATAGCGGGAAAAGTCCGTGTCCTGTCGTGTCGTCAATATTGTCACCGCGCAAATTATCCGCGTAAAGTTGGCAGCGGCGAACGTTATCCATTAAAAATTAAACTTTGTATCGCATTAATATACCTCGAAGCAACGATCCGACGTCGAAGTGAATAAATTGAATTTTGTCAACGAATGCATGCAATACTGGCTGGATGCGGTTAACGTGTCCACTAATTTTTTTAAATGTGTTCTATTTTCAAACAATTGTATTACAAACAATTTTAAGTGCGCGTGCACACATTTGACTAAACTATCGCATAGCTTACATGAAGGTACGCACACTACTCGATTTGAATTGGCTGCGAAAAAATTGACAATTGCAGAACGGTTGTGCGATAGTTTGGTCAAAGATGTGCGCCCGCTCTAAATGTAACCATTTTTATCATTTTAGAGAGACTTTTACAACCGTTAATAGAATTCCAAGGGAACTAAGCCTAAATATTAATGCCCAAAAAGCCATAATTCGCCATAACTCAAATTTAAATCAAGAAAACTTTGAGCGCTTCAATCGACATTCTTAAATCTAATTGTAACTCTTAAACATTGACTGGCTAAAAAGTAAGGTATTATATTACCTTAAGAAAAAAATGCATTCCAAATTTGAAATATGAAGTTGGAATTGAAACGCATCCTACAGATAGTAAAGCAAAAGTAAACAGATGGTAATGGGCGGAGGGTCGGCTACCTTGTCACACCGGCGCATTTGTAAATGTATCGGGCTCGTATAAATTCATTAACCGAACGTGGGGTTAGTTCGCCGTTAAGTGACAAACACTGGAATCGCATCTGAGGGCGGTGACGGCCACTCAAAGAATCGATTACGTATTTAAATCGGACCGTATTCGGTTATTGTTTATTTTCGATACTCGTTAGTAGCGAATCGATTTGCGAACGTTGCGATTATGACAAATGCAAAATATGAATAATGGAAATTGATATTGAATGGTACATTTATACGAAATTCATTTCTCAAATAGCACCGGCAAGTTAAATGGTTTGTGTTTATTTAAAAGCTTAATAACAAGAAGTAGACTTTATCGCCAAAATATTTTTTTTTTTCATTATTTTATACTTTACTTCGATTGATGTATGACATGATGCCTTATAATTAACAATACGTATTTACTATTCCAAACACGTTTTTTGACAATCGTAACTACATGGTTTCAATTAATCATTCGTTCAAAAAACCTCGCATTGTTCGGTCGATTGTTGATCACTTCAAAACCGTCCATCCGTCCGTCTGTCGGTGCCCATTAAAATTTTGCCAAACGTAGTAACATAAAGCGTGGACGCTACCGCAAAAAACTATCGGCACTGAATAGAAAAAAAATCAAAAATAAATGAACAAAAATGTCGCGCGCATTCTGCAAAAGGTCGCAGATTGTCGCGGTTTCGAACCCGGACATCGGCGCGCAGTTATTAATTCTTGGACAGTCAGCGCCGCCGCAGTTCCCGATCGAAAAATAAAATAACAATCATTCATTTGCGTAGCATCATGTTTATCTGTATTCGATAGCTTTACCCAATATTCACTTTATAAATACCGCGCGATTTAACATAAACATTAACCAATTCCACACGTTGCAGTTTAAAACAATGAATTTCAGATTCCAGAGTATTGAAATACGAAAATGTACTCAATTTCATGACCACTTAGAATCAGGAGGAAATTAAAAACAAAATAGTACCTAATAAATAAGCAAATAAAGACATTCCTAAACAACATTAAATAAATCATGAAATATCCTTATTATACCAATTAAAACTTAATGCAATGCCATGGACAAACATATTATTATTTTTTTAAATATACCTATGTAAAAATCGAACATGAAACTTCATTGTGTCCAACATCTGAGCTGTGACATCGCGATACTTTTTCGCTATTTTGTCAATAATTAAGTTCAAAACCAAAAAACGTCAATTGCATTCGGCGCACGATGAAACGGGAAACAATATACGCTATCTACTTACAGCTACAATACAATATTATTGGCTTTTTATTTTATTTTTAAAACTTTTTAATGGCCATTGATAAAGTATAAAACCTTTTTAGTCGTCAAAAAGAAACGTTACACAAACTTTCAATTGTTTATATGATTAATTGTTTAGTATTAAATGAGAATTTAACAAATAGTAAATCAAATATAAAATACTAGCCTCTGCCCGCGACTCCGTCCGCGTAGAATTAAAAACAAAGTAGCCTGTATTCTTACAGACTTTCCTCTCAATCTATGACAAATTTCATCGACATCCGTTCAGCAGTTTAGGCTGAAACTCTAAAAATCATCCATCCATTCAAACTTTAAATGTAAAAGTAAAAACAAATAAAGATTAAAACTTCAATAATATCGTTTAAGCAAAATAAATATAGCTTACATAGCATTTATTACAAAAACACGTTACATTATTTCTATTAACTTAGAGGTTTCGAAAAGAAACTCAACTTTTTACTTTCATTACTTAATAGTCAAAAAGCTGTCTCTAAGCAACTAAATGATAAAAACTTGCATTGCGTAAACAAACATTATGATTTACTTAAATCTGCAACTATGTAAATATATGCAGTCAAATCGCTAAACTACACCAAACCAGTGAACCGTTCAGAGGAATTTAAAATGCTGCCAAACTTCTTTTTGTGTCATTACCAAGTCTATTATACTGAAAGATAAATTTGCTCTTCAAATATGGGTTTCCCTAAAATCTGTAAAACCCTTTTTAATTTCTGCTAATATGATATAAAGAAAACATTTGTACTTTTGGATTTCTGTATGTATTCGATTCACGTAAAAACTGTTGACTGACTGAAAACTATTGCTCAGAAAGGTAGTTTATCTGTGAGTAACGGGCTGTGTTTATTATTTTTTAATTTACGCGGACGTAGTCACGTGCAACAGCTAGTATCTACTATTAAAGTATTAATAAAATGAATCTTCAAATTAAAAAAAAAATAACATTCCTTCCTTTTCAAATCTATCATCGATGTGACACGTTTATAACTGAAACGTGCTAAAAGTAAAATAGTTTCCATTTTTTTTAAATGAAAAGCAATTCTAAAAGAATTCGTTGCTAAAACAGCTATCTGAATTAAGTTATGCGTAGGCTGAATTAACCGGGGGCTTAAGTGCATTGATTTTAATGAATAATTCAAATATCGACTCCCTCCTACATGATACAGGCTAGCATCCCGGCTTAGCGGAATACCTCATTAAGATTATCTTCATTATGGAATTAACTATTGCTAATTATTGCAACAGGAAACATTGTTAACTTATTCTTATTGAGGGGTAAAATAAAATATATCACTCACTGCATGAACATAGCTGCGATGATGTCAGTGGTCAGTTAAATTCATTCAAGAGATCCAATTTGTTTTTTTTTTCTGTATAAGTTGACACAATAGTAAAGTGACCGCTGCCCAAATCCACTGCCCCTTTCCATTTTTCTTTGTACGAAAAGGTTAGGAAGAAGACATACTCATTAGATAAAACGCGAAGTGACTTCGACGTTACGCATGTCAATGAGTGTATTGAACAGGGAGAGCCGCCACATTTCTGCAATGATATTAAAGCGAGCTCTACCACTGTTGTAGTTAAAATAAAGTTTGTTACAATGATCTCGTATTTTAAATTAGTTGCAGGAAGTGATCCCATCTTTATGTTTATTTATTCGTTTACGAATGCGGCATGTTTGTTTAATAGCGATATTGAAACTTAAAAATAGCGAAATACGTTCCAGGTATCAGCCAGCACTAAACCTTATAAATAATAGGGCACACAAAAAACCCGATCGTGACTTATTCATATGGCCGCAAACGAGCTCCGTCTGTCAAGCAAATCTGTCACTTATTGCGGACCGGGACGACCGCTTTCGCGGCATTAACATTTTATTAACATTTCCCCGTGCGTCATTAGAGTTTAAATTTGAATATCTTTGGATCGGAAATGCACAAATTAAGCGAGTGATCTGTTGGCAGTAATGAGCTGGAGGTACGTAATGACGACTGAGGCCAGAACAAAACAACACTCTTGCTTACCTCAGCGAGTCGCGGTAACGAACACCGCTCGCTTGATACGGACACGGCTTTGCTTTCATTCAAATATTTATTGCAACAATCCAATTTCTTTCAAGACATCTCCAATAGGGCGTTTTTATGCAACTTAATAGTTACCTAACCTCTGTTTATCCTCCAATCTCACTAATAGTATAAATGCGTAAGTTTGTATAGATGGATGGAATGGTGTTAGAGTTTGTAGCCTAAACTGCTAAACGGATCTCAATGAAGTTTGGCATAGAGGTCAAAGATAGTTAAAAGAACACATAAGCTACTTACTTTTTTATGTTTCTAATTCCATTTGGACTGAATCGCGTGCGAAACCTGTAGACTATAAATAAAAAGGATTAGCGAAAAGCCTTTTCCATTCAAGTTAGCCCAATACGGCTTATTAATAAGGAACGGTAGGTCCCGCACACAGGCGGACGGACACGCGGACACGGCGAGCGACATTTGTAATGATACTAAATAGAGGCGCGCGGTAGGTGCCCCGTAAACGAGTAATGCGTTCACAACTCGGATAGAGTTATGCAACATGATAGCATTTACAAATAATTTTTAACAAATGTAAACAAAATGTATGAGTTTTTAATGTCGAAAATTGTATTAAAACATTTAAATCTATACATATAACATAATCTCCGAAACGACTGGGCCGATTTCACGGGACTTTCACCGAAGAGTAGCTGAAAGACGGGCATATTATAGGGTACTTTTTTATATTAATATTGCGTGGACTAAGTGGCAACAGCTAGTACCTCCTAAATTACGACAAAACGTAACTGTTTCTGTATCTTTTTAAAAATAAATTTTATTTTAGGAGCGGCGAAATGGAATAAAAACGTCTTTTTGGCGCCTCTTCTTTTGTCGTTTTTAAGCCTTTTCTTATCTGTATAGACAGTACTCTGTATAACTTTGTGTTAGCACTGCAAATTAGCAACTATAACTGTCTCTTAAACCTTCCGAGTAACCTTTAGATAAGGTATATAATAAACTAGATAAAATAAATTGTCATGCGTCATATGGGATAAAACCATTCAGTCAATAAGTCAGAAGCACCTATCTGCGTAATGTCTCTGAGAGGCATTTACATATTTTAATGAGCACTGCAGGCCTATCTCCCGCGAGCTCGCCTCCACTAGCCACGAGCTATCTAGAGCGCCTAGGCCCGTCCAGGTATCTAGAACGCCTAGGTCCCGTCCAGGTATCCTAGATCGCCTCACTCCGCTTTGTTCCGAACTGATTTACATTAGACTCTAATTTGTTATCCTTGCTTCTAGTACTTTATTTTCTAACATGCAAGTTTTGTTCGCTTCAACTTCTGAATATTCAATCTTCAATCTTTGACCATTAATTCAAATGGAATGGATTTCATGACATTTAATAAATAATTTTCTATGAACTGGTCAATAAAATCATACTCATACTAATATTATAAATGCGAAAGTTTAGATGGATGGATGTTTGTTAGAGTATATAGCCTAAACGGCTGAACAGATTTTGAGATAATTTGGTATAGATGTAAAGGTAATATAGAAGAACAAATAGGCTACTCACTTTTGTTTTTTAATTCCACGCGGACGGAGTCGCGGGCAAAGGCTAGTAATATATAAACTATTTACAGTTAAAGTTTCAGATTATGATCTTTTTTTTCTTATTCTCGTGTAGCTTATGTAGCTTTTTTTTTAATTAGTCTATTCGAGAATCATCTCTTGTATCCAAATACAATTACGTTTTTTATATGACATACAAACAGCAAGAAGACTATTGATGGTAATTATAACTTAAAAAGGGTGTATCTATTTGTGACAAATGTAATACCTCATTACCATACTAATTAGGTAAAGTAGCGAGTGAACTGCGGGCTCTTGGGAGCCGTTGTGTTTACACTAATAGGCCACAAGAGTCCTTTAATTCGAGTCCACAAATAAGAGAATCCAATTACTAATTGTAATCTTCTTTACTACTTTTAACAGTCAGAAAAACTTAATATAGTCTGTTTCGACATAAAATTCCAAAAACTTACAACTAGGTTACATCGACTTTCACGCGGAATTTACTTAAACTAAATAGTGTATGTGTTCTTCTAGACTATATTCTACATATGTGTCAAAGATCGATAATAAACAATTTAGAGATAAGTAGTGCTAACAACAAATCAGTACTGCGCTGGAGGAGCGCAAGACTAGATTGTTGGGTACGTCCCATCCCTATCTGACAGCTGTCAATGTCATTCAAACATATTAGAATAGCGCGCCATTCTGGCGGGATCAGTAACTCCGAGTATTTAAGTTAATTACGCTAGTTACAATTAAATTGCCTAAAAGTAGAAACAAATATCCATCCATCCAAGTCATCTTCTTCTTCTTCTTCTTCTTTCTTAGCTCTACAACCCTTTGTGGGCCTTGGCTTGGTCAAGCAATTTCTTCCACTTCGGTCTGTTAGTGGCTACCGATTTCCAGTTTCTTATGCCAACATTCTTTGCGTCACGATTTACACCGTCTACCCATCTCAACTTTGGTCTTCCTCGGTCTCGACGACCTTCAGGGTTGCTCGCCATAAAGGCTTTTGGCATCCTGACTTCGTCCATCCTTTGCACGTGACTAGCCCATTTGAGCCTGGTTAGCTTTATATGGGAAGCATGCGGTTCTTGGAAGAGGTTGTACAGCTCCTGATTAAAACCCATCCAAGTTATACTTATAATATTAGTATGAGTATGTCTATAATAATCTTTATATGTATTAGGCTTACGGTATAGTTTAGTTAACAGTGGTTGACTAAAGCTACATATACTCGAATTATTCTGATATTGTAGTTAGCTAAGCAATAAATTAAAAACACACATTCTTTTATTTGAATACACGTGAGTTTATACAGGGTGTTAGTCTACATGAAATTCATTAACAAAGCTGCCTAATAACTCCCCCTAGCCGCAGGGTGGTCAACATGGGGGGAGGGGGTTGACAAACAGCGCCCAGTAATGTGCTACTGTTGAATTGCAAAAATCTCATTATACTCTAACTGTCGTTATAGGAGTAATTAACCACTGGGAACAGTGGAAGGTATTGAGTGGAATTCCCTTTGTATTTTATTTATTTACTAGCTGTTCCAGTGCGATTAGATCAGCATAAAATTATTTTACATGTGTCAAATTGTCGATTTCAAATGTCAAAATGACATGATATTACCAAACTTGGCAATCTTCCTTCCTTGATGTTGGCAGCAACTTGTGGTCTCTTTCCCACATTAGGGTTTTTATCCAAAATATTTACCCCCTAAGTTTAATGGCGTGAAAATATATAGCCTAAAGCGTGACGTAAGTGTAGGGCATTTTATTAAAAAAAAAGAATTATTCGAAAACAAGTTGTAATTCCTGACATCTGAGGCAGCAAAGAAGTGTGTGTTTACGATTTATTATAATAGTATAGATAAAAAAACTAGCTGTTGCTCGCGACTTTGCCCGCGTGATAATAATTCTAAAGAAATCTAATACAAAGTTAGATTTTATCATTTACACACAAACAGACCAGTAGCCTGTGATACTATTTAGAGAATGCTTACTTTAACTTGCTTTGATAACTTTGTCTTGAGGAATAAATTTTAAAGTATTATTGATGTACCGAGCTATTCATATCATAGTGAAATTGCATACGGTTACGACCTAAACATGAAGTTATCTAACATATCTTTAATAAGTCGCTCCATATGCAACATCAGGGGACAGAGCTTGTATCTTGAATACCGCATAATCATACTTCTTACTAATATTACAAACGCGAAAGTTTCAATGGATATTTGTTACTTCGTATATCCAAACAATTCAACAGATCTTACTGGATTTTTTTTAATACGGGCGAAGTCGTGGGCTATAGCTAGTCTTTCATATTTGCCAATGGACAGTAGAAGGCAGTATAATATAGAATAAAATTATTAAATAATTCAATAGCAGCTCCGAGGATTCTCCTAGTCTTTGGTAATTGTGTTCGGTTATAACGAGTTTTTTGGCGGTCGACGTACTTGGTTGTACGGTAGGCAACGCAGTTTGTGTACACCTAAGATACAAGTATACTACTAGAAGCTATTATGCTTTTTGTTGTTAAAAGTTTGACATGTATTAACTTATTCATTTGTTTTGTATAGTCGATGCTAAACAAATGAATAAGTTAATACATGTCAAACTTTGAAAGTAGCGCCAGTGGTGGAGAAATTGAGAAGCAAAAGGTTAGCGTGGTATGGACATATTATGCGACGAAATGATGGGGACATAAACCAGAAAGTGTTGAGATTGAATGTGGATGGCTGCAAAGGAAGAGGAAGACCGAAGAAAGTATGGATGGATTGTGTGAAGGAAGATATGCTTAAGAAAGGAGTGGATTCAGATATGACGGCTGATAGAGATGTATGGAAGAGCAGCACATACTGTGCCGACCCTCCATAAGGGATAAGGGCAAGTGGATGATGAGTCGATGCTAAACCCGGGTTCGATCTCATATCTATCTAGAAATAGAGTAATTTTCTAGAAAAGTATATTTCTATATCTTTTTAATCTTATAATCAATTGTTAAATGTATAATACCATTTACGGCCATATCTTTAATTCTATAAATACTAGACTACAAATAGATATGAAATAGATGTAAAAACTGACATATACGACCAAATTATTACAGGGATGAATCGCATGTAACAAGAAGGACGTTATGAGTAGAGTTATGAGTGTGGTACACCGGTAGAGGTATACCTAGAAAGAGATGGATGGATTACATGAAAGGTGATATGATAAAAAAGTGACTGATGACTGAGATGACGGATGATAGATTTATACTCTACGGGAGTAGGATAAGGTTGGTGAGATTATATACAACCATATTATTTGTTGCCTAGGGACGGTCATAACCAACCAATATACAAATTTTGAATAGTAAGGGCTCCCACCACTGGCTAGAGGCTCAGATAGCGATGACGTCACTGCCAGATAAGGTAACAAAATCCGATATTTCCATCACATATTTTAGACGTTAGAATGTTATCAGACAATTTGCAATTTGGTGGGACAGGCCCTAAATTTATTAATTCATAATTAACAAAACCAGATTACACTAGCCGCGTTAGATGTAACAAATCAACGCGGACACATCACGCGGTAATGGGATTTCAATTAGGTATATCATTTTAGAACGAAAACAGCAATTGCATAAATAAAGTCCATCAAGCGGTGTTAGTCATTCAGAATCGTATTTAAATTAAAATTGCCGCTAAAATAACCGGAAAGCGATTCATTATTTTGGAATGGGGCGAGTGGGGTTGTATGAATAAACATACGGAACTAATCATAGTTCGCGGACGTAATGCATTTTGGAACCTGCATCTGTGCTCGGTGAACTTTTCAATTTTGATATTAAGGTCTTGTCCCAGTACTGGCCAATAGAGGCTAAGACAGCTTAAAAATGACGTCACAGTCAAATGAGGAAACAAAATCCAATATTTCCATCACATATTTTACACGTTGGATTGCTATTAGACAATTTACAACTTGGTGGGACAGGCCTTGAGATAATCTAGAACTTACGGCATCTGAGTTTATGGTGGTGCCTATGCTTAGACATTAAGCCACTAAGGAATGTCTTTAGTGCATATGAGAATCATCAATAATCGAGTGTTTAAGTAACAATTAAACGTTATAATTACTCACTAGGGTTGGAATTCTTCTTACCAATAATAAGATGTCATCAGAATTTATAGTACTGGCGTTTCTAAAACATGTTACGTAGAAATAAAACAAAATTAATATTAACATAGTAAATTCATAAGAACAATATTAGTGATTTTATAACTTAACTCGATATTCGATTGTTTCTTTTATTAATAATATAAAGAAACATACTTCGCAAATGCTTTCAAGTCCAGAGCGTAAATGCATAGCTTCTTGTACACAAGTTCGGCTATCTATAATTTCCATTGCGGGCTTTGTTGTGTCCACGTAGAGTTTGTGAAGTTTCTTTGCAAAAAGTCTGCATGTCACGGTGGAACGAAGCCAGGGGCTTCTAAGGAAAATATTTCATATCTGAAGCCTATGATTTTTATTGGTCAATGGCACTCACGCTTTTCTTATTAGAAGTATTTAGTACGTAATATTTAAGTCTATACATATGTTTATTGAAAAATAAAAAATTTTATTTGCCTAAAAAATATTTTTTGTCTTACTTGTTAAACTGTAGAACAGCGCCATCTAGCATAATTGTATTACACTACATCGACCAATGACGATTTAAAACACATGAATGTAAAATTTACATTAATGATTTTAATAAAACTGTATAAAGAAATAATTTAACATGATAGAAGAAATTAGAAAACTTACTTGGGATTTTGTTAAATTTTTAAATGTCGTCATATTGTAAAAAATTTGGAGATAGTTTCTAAACCATTTACCAAATTTACTAATCAACAAAACTGTTAGACGATGTTATCCAATAATATTCAACCGAAACTATATTAAACAAATTAAAAAAGTTTTCACGAGTATGTTTAAATTTTTTGTTTGTTTTGATCGTTAATTTTTAACTTTTTAATTAAAATGACATTGACAGTTGGACTTGGATTGTAGAATATCCAACACTATGGTACGCGCGAAAGATAAAAAATAGCTCTAACTATTCTTAACAGAATAAAAAGTATTAACTGCTTTTTGATTTTATAAAAAAATAGGATTAACGCAGATCAATAAAATATTGCTTATTTTGGTACATTATTTAATGAGGTTTTCAATTCTTAAAATAATTTCGTTTGTTTTAAAGAAAAAATAAAAATCTAAGTTAACAGAAAATGTTATTTTATTCAAAATAACTCAAAATATATGATATTGATTCTTAAAAAATCACAAACTGGGAAAAGTTTGAAATAGGTTAATCAATTTTAACAAAATTTATGCAGTGGTTAGTAAAAATCACGTATTACAGCATCACATAACACAATTTATGCTCAACAATCGCTTAGGGTGAGTTGCATCAAATCGCTGGTTATCGTAAAAGTTATAATAGGGTTACAAGTGCAAAAACATATTCTCACAGAGGTTTTATGTGTTTTTCGTTTTTACAATGGAAACATTTAAACCTGAATGTCACTAAAATGTCAAGTTGGTGTCAAGAATGACATTTACGTAAATTAAAATGTTTGGAAATTCATGTTTCGCCGATTATATTTATGTATCATACGCATGGTATTTTATAGTGAAATAAACTTTTTGCCCACGAAGATGGAGAAAATGGCAAACTCTTGTGAAAATAAACTAGTTTGGGCCATTATTGAAACTGTATTTACTTTACTACTCAAATATGTAGCAAAAATGAAGCAATAAAATTATACAAATATAAATGCATCTTATTTATTTTCCATATTATAAATTGTCCTGTCAATGCATATTATAAATTGACCTTTTATGGAGGACATTTTTTTAAATAAGAGAAAAGGGACAAGCGCTGTTGCTATGGCCTTAGACACTCGAAATTTGTCCAAACTGAATGTTGGGCCAAATTTCGAGTTCCATCTTGGAAATCCATTATTTCCGAGCACGCAAGACTTTATTCTTCTGGATTACGTATAGGATAATAGTAGATATTTTCTTTTTCCATTACTTTTTCCATTATTTGTGCTTTTGAAGATAAGAGCTTGTGACAGTTGACACTACCGAACTGACACTAACCGTAACGCTAACTATAACCGCCCAAAATCGGGCGGTTATGATTAGTGTCAAATATGACGTCATTTTGACCAGCGCAAAACTGGTGTAGCGAATATCAAGAACATCCGAAGACGTAACCATCGGGAATGTGCTGGTTAAGGTTTATAGTTAGTTAATGTAACTCATCCTTAGTAAATTTTAAGATTATTCCAAATATTACCATTTCAAATAATTTTAACTTTAACGGTAACCGGCGATATGGTGCAACTCACCCTTAGTATATATTTTGCCGTACTTCACTTATTTTCAAAAATATCAATTTTTGTTTTATAATCACTTTATTATATTAAACTTTTTTAACAATTTGCACAACATCTTCATCTGCCAGGATATGTTCTATGCCAACTTTCTGCGGCTGATGCTTCACAGAAGAACCCCACACTAACGCACTAAAAGATAAAAAAAAAATTAGAACAAACATATAATAATTAAGTTTGTTTTAGATAATCGACAAACCTTGACAAGGAAATCCTAACCAACCTTATGGGAGTAGTACAAGGACTGTGAGAGGATGATGAATTATGGTTATATATCTATAAATGTAATAAAATTGGAGTGTCTGTTTGTAATATTATATACATTACTGTGCGGCTTCATCCCCATGAAATTATATAAACTTTTTTTATTATGGACATTTGTTAAATTGTCAATTGCAAAAGTCAAAATTACCATTAATTTGTCTTGCTTCCTTAATGTTGGCAACTTATAGTTTATAGTCTCTTTCCCACATTAGGGTTTTTATCCAAAATATTTACCCCCTATGGCCTAGACACCACATATTAGGGTAGGCTCTGAGCCCCTCGGTGGGGACGTACAGTGAGCTGGAGATGTATTTACCCCCTAAGTTTAATGTGACAATATATACCTTTAAGCGTGTCGTAAGGGCTTTTAATGAAAATGATAATTATTCATAAATATGCTGTGATTGCTGACATCTTAGGCAACAAAGTGTGTGTTTACGCTTTATTATAATACAAGCTGTTGCCCGCGACTTCGTCCGCGTGGTATTAGAAAACATACGAACTATATAAATAATAAAAAGCTACGAATTCCTCGGGAACCGGACACCTCGGGGATGAAGCTTAACCCATGTATACTCCAGACTTTGCTTTACATCTGTGCCAAATTTCAATAAGATATGTTGAACCATTGCAGAATGATCGAGTAAACATTAAAAAACTAAATTAATGAATCCCATGGGAACCGTAACTATTCCAGGGATAAAAAGTAGCCTATGTATTCTTCCAGACTATGCTCTAAACCTGTGCCAAATTTCGTGGAGATCCATTCAGCCGTTTAGGCTACAAACGCTAACATCCATCCATCCATCTAAACTTACGCATTTATAATATTAGTAAGATAAGATAAGATAGTATAGATATAGTATAGATAATGTCCTTACTATTTAAATTCCTTCACAATAGACCTATGCAGCTTGTTACAGAAGTCTTCAACACTAGTTTTCTCAGCATGTAGTACAACGGGGGAATTATAATCAGGTAATTGTCCTTTAGGCTTTGTGTATATTCTAATTAACTTCAAATATTCCCACATCTTTTCCAATAAATCATCGAAATTCCATTTATGATGAGCGGAGATTGGCACACAATGTGGTATCTTGTAAATAACATCTAGTTCTTCGATACTAATTTGATCTGAAACAAAAAACAATAAATTTAGTTATTTAAAATAATAATTGGAATATATGTCTGGAAACAAACATCCAAAAATCTATTAATATTATTGAATCTTGTGTTTTCAAAGGATTTATTAATTAAGGAATCTTTAAAAACTATATAGAAAAGGATCATTGGCAAAAAAAAAAATTTCTCAATACACAAACTGCATTTTCTATTTTAAACGGTTTATTACACAATTTCCACTTATGGCTACTAGTTTAGAGTTTGAGGTCCTTTAGCTTAGGTATACATTTAAAGTGATATAAAAAAAAATTAAGTATCTACATAAAAAGTAACAGCCAAGTACTGAAACGACATTTGTAACATTGTCTTAAACAAGGCCACACAAAACACTAGATTCCATAAAAATGTTAACACCAGATTGTAACTGGTTATTGATTTGATAAAACTCACCAATTTTATTAAGCAGATAAATGCAGGGAACGTAAATCCTGTTTCCTTCAATAACATCAATGAGGTCGTCACTGGTCGCGTCGTATCGGAGAGTGATATCTGCATTATGTATTTTGTATTCCGATAGGATTGTTTTTACTGCCTCTATATCCAGTTCTGATTGCGGACACTGAAAAAAACAAATAAACCACAGATAAATTATAATAGTAATCACTGTTTTAAACTATTTACTATCTTACTTATATATATAAAAGTTTAGATGGATAGATGTTTGTCAGAAATCTCCGGAACACTTAACAAATCTTAATGAAGGATGGCACAGATAACTATTCTGGAAGAACTTAAGATGATGCAATGATTTTGTTTTTTAGTTTTGATCAGACACAGTCATAGACAAAAACTAGTTATTTATAGTACTTTGTATTTGGTTTTATCTGTTTGATGTTTTACTAGGTACAAAATAATTATGAAAAATTATTTTCTTAATGTTACGTTAAAATTGACTATATGCAAAAATAGGAATAAAAATTTGCTTTTAGTCATTCTAAGGCTAAAAGCAATTGGGTTTAGAATGCTAGATATTAAGATTATGGCTTATAATACTTCATTCTTTAGGTTTAGATTAATTTTGTTTGTTTTCAGTAGCTGCAATGTCAATAAATCAGTAATTCAGTTTTTCTCTATATAAAACAATACTTACAGTAATATTCAAATTAATTCCTCCTTTATCTTTTTTCCTAAAATGAATGTTTGGAGGTTGTTTGTTTAACCGCAACCCGAAGCCTTCCAACTCATGTTCTAATAGTTTCTTGTGCTGCAATGGCTTGAGGACATCTAACACGATGAATACGAGACTGCAAGTGCGGGCGACTGCTATCACTTGACGACCTCTACCTTTGCCGTCTTTAGCACCTTCGATAATACCAGGAAGATCAAGAAGCTGGAATGGAAATAGCAATGAGTTAACACAAGCAGATAGCCCTAGTTTCGTATGAGCAGATATTTTTTTTAAACATTCTAAGGAGATATGGCTTAGTAGTAAACTTATTGTAAAACGTGTTTTAGAATCAAACAATTAAAAAAGTAAATTGAATAGCTTAATCTTACTAATTATTATAAATGCGAAGGTTTAGATGGATGAATGTTTGTTAGAGTTTGTAGCCTAAATGGCTGAATGGATCTGGACGAAATTTGGCATAGATGTAGAGCATAGTCTGGAAGAACACAGCCTACTCAGTTTTAGAGCAACTACAGATGTGTTGCCAGCATTTGAGGAAATTGTAGGCTCGATTCTTGAAGGACCCTAAGTTGTATTGGTTTGGAAATACCGCCAAGGACAGACAGTTCCCAAAGGCACAATGTATTAACAGCTATCATACTAGCATTATAAATGCGAAACTTCGGGTGGATACTACATAAAACATTTAAATGGATCTTAACAACTTTTGGCTCATATAAGAATCTAGAAGATAGACTACTTTTTTTTTAAATTTCTCTCGGACAAATGTTTTAATATACTTGCCTGTATTTTAGCGCCTTTATACTTGATACAACCTGGCACAGTTGTTAATGTTGTAAATTCATATGCCGCTACTTCTGAATACACCCCAGCGAGGTTAGAGAGCAAAGTGGACTTCCCTACTGATGGAAATCCTACAAAACCAATTCTAGCATCTCCAGTCTTGGCAACATCGAAACCTGTAAGTACATAAAATTTAGAATTAAAGCATTTTCTAAAAATTCATTGGAATCAGCACAATGTTTTTATGGATAAGTATGTGTGGTTTTGATATATATACTATTGTGACCTCTAACTATCCAATTGACTAAACTAATTTTTATGAGAGCAATTTGATTTGTATTTTTCTGTGAGTGCTAGTTTTAATTCAAAAAATAATTGACGTTTTTGGACTACTGTTTTTAAACTTTAGAGCAAGTTTTTCTCATAATAATCCAATAAGAAATAAAACTATTTACACACTTGTGTAATGAAGTGTTACCAACTGGTATGATTAACTTGAAATACCAGCTTACCTTCACCAGTAGCGCCGCCACCGCCTTTAGGAGTAATTAATTCTCGTCTCAATTTAGCTAATCTTGCTTTCAGAATACCCAAATGAAGCGCGGTTGCTTTATTTTTTTGTGTCCGAGCCATCTATAATTAACATTTTTAAGTATATTAACAATGAGTAATTTTAATGTTGTTTTTTCTTTAGTTACAAAAACTACTCTAATTGTATGTATGTTTGATGTCATTGGGCTATCAATTCAATTTATGATATTGTTTTATATGATAAAAATTTCTAACATAACCTCCGTGACTTACCTCAGACTCGATAGCGGCAATTTTCTCTAATATAGTACTCATCTTGTTAGTATTGTCTTAGAGTTAGAGTGAAATTCTAAAAAGAATATGAGAAAAAATGTTTTTTCTTAATTGCTACACGTAATAAATAGAAAACATAGAAAGAAAGCGTGACAATCTTCCTTTTCGCCGACAGATCGGAGCGCCGAGTAAAGTTGCCAGTTGCCACGTAATTATGATATGTCAGCTGTCATTAAAACTGTCAAATTGTAAATTATCAAAGTAATTTAATTATATCGCGGGTTTAATTAAAGATGAACTTGGCATTCTGTGAAAATAATGGTGAATAATCGTTTTTAGTGATATTGGATTATTTGTTGATTCACATTAACATGACCAAAATTTGACCGTTTTTGTTTAATCTGTGTCCATTTTTATTGTTGGCAGCTATTTGATAATTTTTAAATAAGCGCCATCTAGTGACGAAAATATAATTTTAAAAGTTCACAAAATTATTGCGTTCCAACGAAAGATGTCGCTTTACTCAAAAAAATAATACGCGAAAAAGTTGCAGGTTGCGCATCGTTCCTACAAGGGTAGGAGTACTGAAAAACTGTTTGAAGGTACTCGAACAGTTGTGGTTCAGTATAACGCTGGACGTCGGTATGATTAGTCGCTTTACGATTAAACCTCCTATATTCCGCTAAGTTTACGAAAATTTAAACTCAATAAAGTAACTTTGTGTTTTAGTTAGTGTATAAAATATTAAATTAGTTATTGCAGAATGTTGTAAAACTTATTCGTGTATGTTGGTGTTAGAAAAAATACTGAACGGTATAGTCTAGAAAAGTTTGATAAACTTAGGACTACTGGTAAGTTATAGAAGGCAGTTAACTTAGAATGCTCGATTATTTTTTGGTTATTATCAAGGCAAATAAGTGTAGCTCAAACTAAATAATTATGATTTAGATAAGAATCTATACAAAACATTTTAAAATGTTGCACTTGGTTGTACAAACAAGCAAGAAAAAGCAATTAAACAGCTAGAAGAGAGTAACAGCTTTAGATTGTATCCCCTTTTCGTGTATTTAATGTACACAATAGTCTAGTTTAAAATTTATAGAAAAATCCTTCATCTCTCATCGATTACATTCATGGACATTATCATGAGTGAATTATTAAGAAGTGTAGTAAGGTTTAATTTTTGTTACCACTGATTATTTACTGTTAATCACGTTACCGCAAAAATTTCTTATCAGAATTAAAGAAATATAAAAACAAAATGAGTAGGCTATGTCTTCTTCCAGACTATCCTCTACATCTATACCAAATTTCGTAGAACTCCGTTAAGCCGTTTAGTCTACAAACTCTAACAAACATCCATCCATCCACCCAGATTTTCGCACTTATAATATTACGAGCTTTCGCCCGCGACTCCGTCCGCGTGGAATTAAAAAAATCAAAAGTGAGTACCCTATGTGTTCTTCCAGACTATCCTCTACATCTATGCCAAATTTCATCGAGATCCGTTCAGCCGTTTGGGCTGCAAACACTAACAAACATCCATCCATCTATCCATCCATCCATCTAAACTTTCGCATTTACAATATTAGTAAGATTATAGTATAATCTATAAACAGTATTATTTTCTTTGCAATTAATCAAACAGATTGTCTGTATTTACTAATATTTAAGCGATGGGAATCTTTATAATGTAACGTGTTGTGTTCTGTAGCGGTTTTAAACTTTCGTAGCACTTGTAGCACTCGTAGAACTTTGTATTGTAAGAAGCTCGTAGCTATTAAGTACATAACAAGTGAAGTGTAGCGTTGTTCCGACAGTGATAACTATCGCACGGGTGACCGACTTTGGAATTAATCGACCAAATTAAAGGTATTGCTTCCTTACACTTAAATGACCTACGGGATAATACGGAAAGCTCTAAAGGAGCTTTTATGTTATAAATATGTTTATGTTTATGCCCGTTATTTATCAGAGATTTATTTTTTTTCTTTCTATCTGTTTATCTATTTTTGTACTAGCTTTTGCCCGCGACTCCTTCCCTGTGGAATTAAAAAAAATTAAGAACCCTATGTGTCCAGATTGTCATCTACATCTATGTCAAATTTCATAGACATCTGTTCAGTAATTTTGCCTACAAATTTGACAAACATCCATCCATTTAAATTGTTGAGAAACAGTTCGAAATTACTCAACTTAAATTATGCGAAATCCTTTGACGAAAACTATAATTGAAATTCATACATAATTAATAAAAATATTTTTCTCTTGTTTCAGATTATGAACATTAATATGTAGCTTGTATAATAAAAATGCCCAATAACAAAAAATAAAGCGCAGAAATAAATTATTGGGAATGTAGAAATTATTTAACGGCCAATATGTCGTCAGAAGTGTCATTAGACGATAGAGATAAGCCGAGTCTTATCCGGCGTACTGTGACCCTGGTGACAAGGGCGGCGTGCTCACAGATAGGTCTAGTTACACTGGTGGTTGTATACGTGTTGCTCGGTGCTGTGCTGTTTGAATATTTGGAATCAGGACCCGACGTGCAGAAGAGATCTGCTATACAACGATCTAGGGAAGAATGCTTGAAGGAATTGTGGGCTATCACAGGTTAGTAAACTAGTGTAATATTAGCAGTGACTAGCTGTTTCCCGCGACATCGTCCGCTTCTAATTTAAAATAAGAAAAAAACAGTCTATGTTATTGATAACGTAGCTTTTTAATGGTGAAATAATTGAGAGTGTCGGTGGCTCAGTGGTTTGAACACTTGACTTGTAATCTACAGGTCTTGGGTTCGAATCCCGCCATGTACCAATGTGATGTTCGATTTTTCGAATTTTCATATGTACATAATTTGCCCGACGTTCTTACGGTGAAGGAAAACATCGTGATGCAACCTGCACATATCGGCGAAGAAATTCAAATATATGTGTGAAGTCAACCAACCCGCACTTGGCCAGCGTGGTTGACTATGGCCTGGTCACCCCATATTAGGGTAGGCTCCGAGCCCCTCGGTGGGGACATATAGTGAGCTGGTGATGATGATGATGATGATGATGATGAATTGAAAAAAATAATAATGGTCAATTGAAATAGAGTTATGTTGTAAACATCACGGAATAATATAATACAAGGGGATTTAAAAATTGAAAAGAAAAATACAAAGCTCTTCTGCTTATTCTTTTGAACGCAAAATTGCAGACAAATTCTCTTTTCCGCGACTATAGAATTCGTGACATTTCCGACATATTTTTATGAATTCCCCGGACGTTCTCACACTACAAAGAAAAATTCATCATCGACTCTTTGAAATGGTAACTCAGCGAGTTTGTTTCGTAATACTTTGTAACTAGACGCAATTATGTCACTTCTTTTACTTTTAGTAACTACTTACATATATTATTTTATTAAATATCTAACATACATGAAAACTATATTCATGTAAGAAGAGCAAAATATGGATTATTCCCAACCGTCACCCCTCTCTGTCCCCACGTGGGAACATTCCACTATTACCAGTAAGGTAACAGATGGAACCGTTATGAAAAAATATAAGTTCTAACTGTCCCACGTCGCAAAAGGTGGGACGGATAAAACTTTTTACTCTTATCTGATCCCACGTGGAGACAGAGCAGGGTGACGGTTGTGGAATAATCCCAAAATCTTACTAAGATTATAAATGCGAAAGTTTAGATGGATGGATCGATTGATGGATATTTGTTAAAGTTTGTAACCTAAACTGTAGAACGGATCTCGATAAAATTTACAGATGTACAGAGAGGAAAAACTGGAAGAACGTATAGGCTAATTATTTTTGTTTTTTATTTTAACTCATCGCGCAGTGCCGGGGGAAAACTAGTATATTATAGTTATATAAAGAAGAAACACAATTTAAAAAATCTAAAAATCATATATTACTCAGTGATAACGTAGCCTTTTAATGTTGTAAGAATTGTTGAAATCGGACCAGTAGTTGAGTCATTTAAATATATACAAAAATGTTAATATTTCCTACTTATAAATTTAGTACAGTTAGATCTAAACTTTTAGTCTTGAAATGTTGTCAATTTGCACATTGGCTATTATTCATAGAACCCATTTATAGTCTCAAACGAACGGCGTACTGACAAAAATAAATAGCAAATCTACAGAATTGTATTTTATTTTGATTGCTTGATTTTCGTTGTTTTTGACTTGATACTTGTTTATAATTATCTGAAAATGCTTGTTATTATTGATTGACAATTTCTGCAAACAGAATCGAAAGCAGTTTTCCGAATATAATCTATTATTTTTTTTTTAATTGTCATACCAACTAATCTATTATTTAAAATTTATATCGGTAAATACTTAGTTAATTTACAAAATAATTAATAGAAAGCCCGTAGTTAATTAAGTTAACCGATATAATAAGTTTAATTAAGTTGTAATCATCACGTTAACTTATGACTATAGTAAGTTACGAAGCTGTAGAAATGTATTTAATATTACCCAGAATTATTGGTTACAATTTTTAATATTAGAATTCATCCAATCGTCTTTACACTCGCAGACTTATTTCTGTAAAGTAGACAATGTTTTCTAGCACAAAAAACTAATAATGTAATAAAATATTAAACGAGATTTTTAATGTACTTTCGAGCTGTACTTGAAAGTAATTTTTATTATGAACCGACCAACTGTTACGTCTGCGAGTTGGTGAGTAAAATGTTTTATTATAAAATCTATTTGTGACCAGCACTAGTAGATAATGTTACATTTTTAATAGGACCATAAATGTGAAATACAATTTAATACATATAGTTATTTTAAGATTTGTGATTTTGGTGATTAAATGAAGAAATTAATTTAATTTAAAATCAAACTGGTAACCTGAACTCAAGTTTATCTTTTAATCTCAGAATTAAAATTACCTGAAATTTTTCAGACAAATGTAAAATAAATCAGATTTGTTACTAAACATTTATTTTTTAAAGTTATTATTAATTCGTATTATTAATCTTATTTTAGTTCTTACTAATATCATAAATGCGAAAGTTTACGTGGATGGATATTTGTTAGAGTTTGTAGCCTAAACTGCTGAACGGATCTGGATGAAATTTAGCACAGATGTAGAGAATAGACTGGAAGACTACATAGGCTACTTAGTTTTTTTTTAATTCTACACGGACGGAATCGCGGGCGA